AACCAGAGGGAAAACTTGTATACTTTGCTCGCAAATCAGATGGAAATGAAACCAAAGAGCGCATGGTGCTCTCTCTCTCTCTCTCTCTCTCTCTCTCTCTCTCTCTCTCTCTCTCTCTCTCTCTCTCTCTCTCTCTCTCTCTCTCTCACACACACGATCAAGGGGTCCAAGAGCAGTGCTTCCACGAATCATTACTACATATTTTCAGAAATAATGCTAAATGTTTTTTAAAGAATTAAAAAACTAAAAAGAGAAACTGTGAAATAAGGATTTTTCTTGACAGTACTTTGAGATAAATGGGAGGAAACGAGCGGCCAAGAAGGAGAGTGCGGCGTGCCTGACGACGGGGCAGTCTGAGTTTCTTAAAATTTGCAGAGGCAAGTATTTATGGGTTTTTGTGATTTGGAGGAGGTGAGGGTTTACATTGAGACTATTTCCCAGTGAAGATTGAATGAGGAACTCGAGAGCGCGATGCTGCAAATTAGGAGGAATATAGACGAGAGGATCAACTACTCATGAAGATGTCAATCAAATTAACAGTATTTTTCCCCCGGTAGAGGGAGTTTAACTGGGTGTCGTTCGCTTTGGGAGTCTAATTGGCGCATGCCCATTTTCCGCGACAACTTCTCCCGTCATTTGTCGCTAAACCTCGTTGACAAAATATGCATCTTTTGTAGTTTGGACTATAAAACGATTAATTTTTCTGGAATCCGTTTTAGTTTATGTCTTTTGAGATTTGAGAATCAGTTATGTTGATACTGTTGTGCCTCGAGAATCCAAACCAATCGCCGAGAAAAGATAAACCAACACACCAAATCAATAGCACAAACAATCAAACACCAGTTTTACGTGGTTCGGCAAGATGCCTACGTCCACGGGGCAAGGAGGGGTGAGTTTTCACTATTAGAAATCAAGAGGAACAAACTAGGGTTACAATCTCTCACCAAAAACCCACAACAACTCACTCTTGATCTCTCCAAATGCTCCTAGAATAGAAGCCCAAAGAAAACCCCTTTCAACAGCTCAAAACTCTTGCCTTACAAACCCTAAAATCGTGTTTGGGTATTTATAGAAAACTCAAACAAAACGGGTCTGGAAAACAGACCCAGACTCAACCCGCTTTGGCGGTCGACCGGACCGGTCGACCGCGATCCATCGCGGTTGCACTGTCAACCTGAATCCTGAGCTAGAAATCCACTTCTGCTGCCAATTCTACAAATCTCCACCTCGGCGAAGATTCCACCAAACTGAGCCGACACCGATCAAACCAATGCCTCAACTGCTGCATCCAGTACGCCATGGCAACGGACTCATGACAACGGACTCCATCCACAACATGTCGAGACCCAAACGGGAGTGCGAACACTCAACCCCAAACCAACTGTGTCTACTCACCAAATCGGCTGCATCAGAAAACTGACTGCCTACGTATCCTCTCCAAGGAATCAAGCCTTCACGTAGTTCACCCAATGGCCTCCAAAGGCCCTCAATCCAACCTGCGGCTGATAACATCATAAACGACCCCAATCTGAAAACAGTCCAACACCTCCACCTGAGATGAAACAATGGCCGTATCCAAAACATATCCATCAGCTGCATCCATATCAACTACCTCATCATCTGCACCCATAAATAAATGACTCCCACGCTGTGCCACCTCAGCTGGAATCCCAACCAATGCAGAATGACCTGGAGTATGTGGGGAAATCTCCACCCAATGTGGAGTAGCATCAACCTCCACCCGCTGCGATATCCCTCTGACCTGATCAATACTCTCCACCTGCCGAGAGTCCAAAGTGACAAACCTGCTCAGACCAAACTCAGAAGCTCCCCACTGATAGCCAAGCGAACCTCTGAATCCCAAATGCGCAATCGGATCCAATCTCACATCCACGTTGTGACCAAGTGCTGGGTAGCCAAATATCCGACGCCGACCAAAATCTGAAACAGCTCCACCAGATCTAACAACTCTATACGCAGCAGTCGACAACCTCATAAGATGACCCAAATCTGTCGAAGCCTGAATACCAGATCCACTGCTCGACAACCAATGCCGATCCTCCTCCAGAAAAGAACGACTCACTAAGTCTGCCATCTCATCACGTCGCCCCACTGTCTCCTCTCCTCTGAAGTGTCTCCAACTGCCATGAGCTCGGCACCAATGCAAGAAAGGACTCCTACTAGAACAAGTACGACCGGTAACCCTTCTGCCCATACACCTCCTCTAACTGTTGCGGACTATTAGGGCTTCATACCAAAGGGACTTGGTTGCAACCCATATATGCCTAGTACAATCCCCAACATAAGAAACAAAATATCGATTACCTCCCACTGATGCCTCCATGGAAGGTCCCCCAATGCCTGACTGAACACCTCCAATAAGACCACTCGATCGGTGGATAGAAGTGCTGAACTCCACCTCGGTCTTCTCGCTCATCCCACTGTGCTCACAGGACCTTTTTGTTTCATTGTAACGATCGAAGTTGTAATGAATGCAGCAATGAATACAGCAACTTTTTCCGCAAATAAGCTGGCGACCACAGTGGGAGCCAACGGCATCGCAACTGACGCCGTGGTGACGCAACCAGCACTCAAGATCGGGGTGAATGAAGAACACGAGCTCGATCAACAACAGTTCGAAGAAACTCCGCCTGACTCCCTTCATCACAATCATGGACCCCGATGTGACCTTCAAGCGAGAATCCGCCAAAGTCGCCCTATAGCCTGCTGCCTCCAATACCCCAAATGAAATGATGTTCTTTCTCAGTTGAGGAACGAACCTCACATCAGCCAACTCCCGGATCATCCCGTCACTCATCCGAATCCGAACAATACCAATACCACCAATAGGGCATCTGTGATCATTACACATGAGAACAACATCCCCTCTTTCCAACTCCTTAAAGCTGGAGAACCAATCCCTTCTAGTGCATATGTGGTAAGTGGCACCAGAATCCAACATCCACTCGGTGGAGTCGGCAACATCAACTGACAGAAGAGCTGGGCACGAATAGCCCGCCTCTGCACTTGCACCACGTGACGTCCCCGCGTCGTCCAACATGGTCGAGATCGCAGATCCGGACTCCTCTTCTGCCGAGGAGATGGCTTCTGAAGACGCTCCCGCAATATCAAAGAGAACACGACAAAGACGACGTCAACGTAAGTAGCACCAGAATCTAACATCCACTCGGTGGAGTCGGCAACATCAACTGACAGAAGAGCTGGGCACGAATAGCCCGAAGAATCTGAATCTGAAACATCGCCACTAGCCTTGGTAACATTCACCTCTGAAGCTTGAATAGCTTTTCCTTTATTCTTCACGGCTTGCAATTTTGGGCATTCGGCTTTCCAAAGGAGCGAATCCAGAAGCGCCGCGCCTTGCGTGCGCATGCCTGAGCCCTGGTCCAAAAAGCACGAGAAATACTAAAGGGAGAGGCCGTTAAGAGATCGCCGAGATCCGAACGAGTTTGGAGGCCGAAGGCCCAATCAACGCCTGAGGTAAAAACAGGTAATATTGCTCTCCAACCTTCGTCAATTTCAGGTCCCGAACCTTCGGTAAAGCCCCACCGCAGCAAAGAGTGAGGACGAAGGTCTCATATTTCTCGTCGGGCAAGGAACTCAATAACAACAATGCCTTGTGCTCGTCTTCAACAATGACATCTACATTCGCCAAATCTGTAAGTAGCTTCGTGTAGTGGTTCATGTGATCACTAATGGATGTCCCCTTCTTCAATTGGAAGCGATAAAACCTCATCTTCAAATGCAAATGATTTTCGATGCTCTTTGTCAAATATTTACCCTCTAGGACCTCCCAGATCTTCTTTGCCGAAGTTTCATTCATCACATCATATTTTAGATCTTGGGTAAGACAAGACCTAATCACACCACACGTCGTTCTATTCATTTTATTCCAAACCTTTTCATCCATGTTGTCCGGTTTCCCGTCTAACTCCAATGTATCTTCCAAATTTTGCGCATTTAGCGCATCCATGACTTCACATCTCCAAAGTCCAAAATTATTTGTGTCATTGAACTTTTCCACATCATTTTCATAGAATGTATATTCAAACTTTGGATGGCCCTCACACTAGAAGAACCCTCCCCATGTTTATCCTTTCCGGCCATAATCTCAAAGCACCCAAACAATTGCGGAACAAACAAGAAAATAGATCCAACTTGAAAAAGATAGAAACTTTACCACAAAGATCCCACCTTTATCACCAATCGAAGCTCTAGATGAACTTCCCAACTGATCTATACCTCCAAAAAGCCCAAGCGTTGCCCGGAGCTCTGATACCACTTGTTGTGCCTCGAGAATCCAAACCAATCGCCGAGAAAAGATAAACCAACACACCAAATCAATAGCACAAACAATCAAACACCAGTTTTACGTGGTTCGGCAAGATGCCTACGTCCACGGGGCAAGGAGGGGGGAGTTTTCACTATTAGAAATCAAGAGGAACAAACTAGGGTTACAATCTCTCACCAAAAACCCACAACAACTCACTCTTGATCTCTCCAAATGCTCCTAGAATAGAAGCCCAAAGAAAACCCCTTTCAACAGCTCAAAACTCTTGCCTTACAAACCCTAAAAGCGTCGGTCGACCGCGTCGGTCGACCGCTACCATCTTCGGTCGACCGGTCCGGTCGACCGCCACCAATCCTGAAGCACAGTAAGTGACGTGCACGAAAGCGGTCGACCGGACCGGTCGACCGCCACACTGTCAACCTGAATCCTGAGCTAGAAATCCACTTCTGCTGCTAATTCAACAGATACTATCTTAAATTCTCTTTCATTGCAAAAAAAAATGTAGTTGTGAAGTGAGTTAAGATGTATAAACATTTCATACATTTCAGATACTCTTAATGCTATTTTAATATCATATAATCTTATTATTATATATTTATGAAACTTAGTGTGGTCATACTTTACTTTTCTAGCTGCCAAGATTTAAAAAATAATAATTACTAAAACAAAAAAAGAATAAAGAGATCGAAAACTAGATGGCAATTCAGACATTGTTCGGGATAATTTTCTTTTACAAAATTCATAGTTTTAGATATCTTTTTCCCTAACTGTGCATTCTCTAGAAGTACCACCAAGAAACCGCATCATATCTTTACAATAGTTATATGTCCTATACTTCTTCTGCAACGATCTCATCTTCCTATAACTCTCAACATCTAACTCTTGGCGAAACCACGTGTTTTTGCTTGAAGGACAACTAGATTGACCTTCAGCTGGAGACCAAATACACGCATTGACGGTGAAGTTGCGATAGTATGCTATAAATGGTGCCTTGCTCCAATCAGTCTTTACTTTCCCTCCCTGCGTGGCCCAATCTTCACCGTTCCATAACGTTGAGTATAACTTCATTGGTTGGCTCTTTGGGAATGGAACTCCTAATGTTTCATGGTTCTTGAAAACTCGTATTGGAACATTATCGACCAAGAAGCTGATACAAGCATTAGAATGTTAGAGAACAAAGTTATATTATTGTTATTGTGATTGCTAAGAATAAAATTATAATCTTTAAACATCATCAAAACTATAGAGTTTTGATGCAATGAAAATAAGTTTAAGATAATATTAGAGCATTAATTCCATGTTCAAATGCTATTGAACATTTACATTTTAAATGAATTTCAGACGGGGAAAAAAAGATAATATTGGGTAAAGTGTCTCAGATTTAATTTGTTCTATGAAAAGGACATTCAACCAATGGAGACGTGCTAGAGATAGCTATTATAGTTATCAATTCTCAATATAAGTTCAAAATTTTCATGCAAGGAAAGGGATTTAATAGAGAGAAATAGCAACTTTGCGCGCTTACATGATATTTTTTGGATTCCATAGGATGGAATATGTGTGAAAATCCTGTGTTGGATCGAACCACAGGTTGAATTGCATCTCCTTGTTACCCTTTCCATGAGCAAAAACATTTGTGTGCAATGTGTAAGGGTTTCCACTTGAATTTCCAAGAAATTCAAAGTCGATCTCATCATGGTTAGGCTCCATGGCTGGCCCCTGTGACGATAACTACATAATGGAACAACATGCATCAGAGGATCAAATTTTAACAATAAATTCTTGGGTGGGTCGGTATTTGTTGTTATCAACTTACATAAAATGTGGTGACAGTGCCTGCAGAATTCCCAGGAACAAGCTTGATCTCCATATCTAGTCTCCCAAAGAGATATTTGTGCTTTGAAAAGAAGCCAGAGCCGGAGAATTTATCAAGGGATAAAGAAAGGAGTTTTCCATCTGATGAAATCTTGCCGCGGCCATCACCCCATTGAATTTCAATGTCATCGTTGAGGTTGCCGCCATAGGCAAAGGTTGAAAATGAAGAAACTAATAGAAAAAATGCTTGGATTAATGACACCCTCATATTTCTATAGGGAAGATGAGGAAAATTTATACATATTTCTATTTAAGATCAATTTTTGATTGTACAATCTTTGTTCTTGGGACTTTTACTAGACAATGGAATGTTGAGTGGATTCATGCAAACCATAGGCTTCTCCAGGAAATTAGGATTTGATGATAGAAGGGCGTTTCACTAATGGGTAGGAAATATGCTTAAAATAGAATGTGGTCTTTTATAATCTGGATTGGATGAAAATTTTTCTTTCATATACCTTAACTGAAAAGTATATCATCATCAATAGCCCCACTACAAATACGCCTAAAACTATTGTTTGCACACAAATTTCTGATCATTTGTGAGCATGATAACCAATAATATTCCTAACTTGATTATGTATAGGAACTTGAAATTCTTGCATTTAATTGTCCAAAAAATTACAAAAAAGAGGCTTAAAAAACCGGTACTATTGCATCAAAAAATAAACATATATCGATATTTAGACAGTGTTAAAGTAAGAGAGAGAGAATCTTGGGTAAATTTCCCTTGAATTGAATATTGAGTATGCACATATATTTATACAAGTAGAGGAGTGTGAGGTTTGTTCTCCCAAGCAATGTGGGACTAAAAAGGAGTGTGAGGTTTGTTCTCCCAAGCAATGTGGGACTAAAACCCACTACAATACACTATTATCAACTGCGCCCTTCAAACTCATGTTGGATCAAACAAAGTGAGTTTGCGTACAAGAAACTGGAACCGATGAACAGATAAGCCCTTTGTAAAGAAATCTGCAAGCTCGTCAGCGGATGAAACATGAGGAAGTAGAATTGTCTTGTCCTTGATAACTTGGTGACGGACAAAATGAGCGTCGATCTCAATATGTTTGGTCCTTTCATGAAATACTGGATTATTAGCAATCTGGATGGCACTCTTATTATCACAGTAGAGAGGAGTAGGAGTCGTAACAGAAATACCGAAATCACTGAGAAGGCGACGAAGATGAATAATCTCTTTAGCTGTTGTGGACATTGCACGATACTCTGCCTCAGTACTGGAAAGAGCAATAACATCTTGTTTCTTACTTCGCCAGGAAATAAGGGAATCACCAAGAAATATACAATAACCTGTGGTAGACTTTCTGGTAGTTGGATCACCAGCCCAATCAGCATCAGAATATGCACAAAGCTCTAACTTAGATGTAGCAGGAAACAAAAGTGAGCGAGTGCTAGTACCCCGGAGGTACCGAAGAATCCGTAATAAGACAGCATAGTGTACAGAACGTGGAGCACTAACAAATTGACTGACAATACCAACAGCATGAGAGATATCTGGTCGAGAGATGCACAAATAGACCAACTGGCCAACAAGATGTCGATATCGGGTAGGATCAGATAGAGGCTCACCGTCAGTAGAGCAAAATTTGACATTCTGTTGGAGTGGAGTATCGACAGTTGCATTATCAGTTAGTTCAACTTGATTTAGAATATCTGAGAGATACTTCTGTTGAGACAGTAATACACCCCGCGGGCCTTGAGAAATTTCTAGACCAAGAAAATACCGAAGAGATCCAAGATCCTTCATGTGGAACTGTTGTTGCAACTGAGATTTTGCGTATTGTATACCTGTCATATCATCACCTGTAATGATCATATCATCTACATAGATGAGTAATAAAACCCTGCCACGCGATGTAGTGCGAACAAACAGAGAAGCATCTTGATGACTTTCTATAAAGCCCGCTTTGAGCACAACATCGCGAAAACACTCAAACCAAGCGCGGGGTGCCTGTTTGAGACCATAAACAGCACGACGAAGGAGACATACATGTCCCGGAGGAATATTTGACCCTGGAGGCGGTTGCATATATACGGTCTCTAATAAAGAGCCATGAAGAAAAGCATTTTTGACATCCATCTGGTATAAGGGCCAACGATGAGGAGCAGCGACCGCATGGAGAGTACGAACAGTGGGCATCTGAGCAACAGGAGCAAATGTCTCCTCATAATCAATACCTTGTTGCTGAGTAAAACCTCGAGCCACTAAACGAGCTTTTCGACGTTCAATGGTGCCATCAGGACGAAACTTGACCTTATAAACCCATTTACTGCCAACAAGAGAGATCCCAGGAGGACAGGGAACAACATCCCAGGTATGAGTTTGCTGAAAGGCTTGAAATTCCTCAGCCATAGCCTGTCGCCACTCTAGAATTTAAACTGCCTCTTGGAAGGACTTTAGCTCAACAATAGTATGAATGGCAGCAAGAAAGTTACGAAAGATAGGTGAATAAGAAGTAACAGAAGCATACCGGGCAGGCATGACATGTAGGTGTTTGCCTCGACGAAGAGCAAGAGGAACCTCAGGCGGGGGAGATGCTGGCGCAGGTGCGTGGTGATCAACAGTATTTTCTGGAGTGAGAGTTGTGTCCACAGGATATGGATTAGATGGTGTAAGAGAAGACTCAGGTGAGGAAGAGTCAACAGAAGGAGAGGGAGAGATGTCAGGGAGATCTCGAAAGGAAAATTGAGGTGAAGAAGTGGGTGATGCAGTGGACGGGGAAGCATGATCGGTAGAGTGGAGGAAATTAAAGTCATCAGAAGTAGAATAATATGGAGAATCCTCTTCGAACTGAACATGACGAGATATATGAACTCGACGAGTTGCTGGATCATAACAATGATAACCTCGATGTTCTAAACTAATTCCTAAATAATCATAAGAAACAGCTCTGGGAGACAATTTATCACGTTCGTGAGATGGCAGAAGAACAAAACATCGACAACCAAAAACACGAACTAGATCATAACGGGGAGGATGAGTATAAACACGACTTTAAGGAGTAGCACCGAGAGAGAGCTAGATGGAGTGATATTAATGGCATGAGTCGCGGTGAGAATAGCCTCAGCCCAAAACGACGAGGAACAGAGTAAGAAATGAGCATTGATCGAGCAGTATCGAGGATATGACGATGTTTGCGTTCAACAACACCATTTTGCTCATGAGTGTAGGGACATGACTGTTGAAAGATAGTCCCATGAGAGGACATGATAGAGCGCATGGCAGAGGATAGGTACTCTTTGGCACAATCAGAACGAAAAACTTTAATACGAGATTGCCATTGAGTGAAAATCATAGCAGTGAAGGCTTGATAAGCAGTAAGTACGTCAGAACGATTCTTAAGTAGGTAAACCCATGTAAAACGAGAGAAATCGTCGATAAAGCTAACTTAATATAAGTAGCCAGATGAAGAAGGCAAAGGAGCTGGCCCCCAAATATCAGAATGTACTAAATCAAATAAGGAAATGGATACAGATGTACTCATTTTAAATGGAAAAGCAGTGAATTTTGCCAATTTACAACCAGTACATGACTCAATACTAGAACTAGATGATACAGGACCAAGTACTCCAGACTGAATAAGACTCTCCAGCCTTTTATTAGACACATGATCAAGTCGTCTATGCCATAAATTGGCAGGAAGTGAGGTAGAGGGTTTTGACGAACGAAGAGAAGCAACAAGAGAACGTGGACGTATGGACTCTGGAATGTGAAGATATTCTAGAAAATACAGTTTGTACTACCCACCCCAACCGTCTTGCCCGTCTGTGGATCCTGCACAATACAAGTATCAGAAGAAAATGAGACAAACAAGCCCGCCATGCATAAAGAGCTAATAGAAATTAAATTCAAGCACAACTGAGGAGCCACATAGACGGGACCAAGTGTTAGACGACCAGATGGATTATTTTGTGGGGGTAATAGAGTCATACTGAATAATGGACAATGGTTGTCCAGCAGCTGTGTAGTTAGGAGGAAGAGAGGATGAAGTAAAAACAGAGGATAAAAGTGAGGCATTACAAGTCATATGAAAGGAACAACCAGAGTCAAAAATCCAGAGATTATTCATACCAGAGACTGAAGGATTAGCTGAAGAACCAGCAAAATGCATACCAGAGAGTTGTGCGGCGGATGTAGAGGTGATATGTTGAAAAGCATCAAGTTGACGGCGAAGACTTTCAATAGCTTGAATAGTAGAGTCTGAAGTAGTAGAAGGTATAGCATTGGCCAACAATCCTGGTGTACGAGAGGGTTGAGACTGAGGGGGTCGCCGACCACGACCAGTACCTGAGGAACGTAACTCAGGATGAAGCTTGAAGCATGTCTCAATACGGTGTTCTTCCTTCTTGCAATATTTGCAAGAGAGCTTAGATCGAGCCTGTAGAGAGGGAGCCTGTGGAGAAGTATGATACATAACAGGAGCAGTGACAGGTAAAGACAAAACAGTCTCGAGTGAAGAGGTAGGAGTGTCTGTTGACAAATTGAGTCGTGTTGTCTGCTGCCGGGTCTCATAAGCAGTGAGAGCTCCCATAACTGAGGCCAAAGTCGGAAATTGAGGCTGGGGAAGTAGTTGATCAGCCATAGTTGAATATTCAGGAAGGGACTGAAACAATTGATGCACCTCATGCCGTTTGTACCAGGCTAGCCAGTCTTCATATGTGGAATTACGTCCAGGAAGCATGGAGCGTAACTCTGTCCAAAAAGCTTGCATTTGTCCAAAATAGGACTGCAGAGATGAACTACCTTTGCGTTGTAAAGCAATGCGTTGCAGAAGATATGTCTCCCGTGCACCCGAGCACTCAGTGAAACGCTCATTGAGACGAGTCCACATGGCCTGAGCAGAGGGAAGCGAGCCAATCTCGACAGTGAGACCAGAGCCAACACAGCGAGTGAGATAATCCATAACACGAAATTCCTGCAATTGCCACTCTGAACTCTCCTTGACATAGAGAGCACGAGCAGTCTGAAGATCGACATTACCACTGCCAGAGGCAATAGTACTGGATGAAGCAACAGTGCTGATGGACGGTAGAACTAGTCCCGTACTGGTGAGATGATCAAGCAAACCAGCACCACGCAAGGCATTGGTGACAATGGTGGACCACCCTGCCCAGTCACTTTGATCATTGAGGGGCAAAGGTGGTTTGGGAATCTTCTCTGAAGGAGTCATAACAGCAATGTCGAGACGTTAAGATGTCGAGATGCCGTTACTGACTGCGAAACGGCAATGCCGTTCGTTTGAGGCCGAGAGACGGCTTGAAACGACGATGCCGTTAATTTGAGACCGAGAGACGGTCTTGAAACGGTAATGCCGTTAAAATAGAACCCGAAGGTTAGAATGAAACCCGAAGGTTTAAAAGAGAATCCGAATGTTAGAATGAAACCCGAAGGTTAAACGAGAACGCGAAACGCGTTAAGAGGCCGCAAAGCGACAAGGCCAAAATATCTGGCAGATTAAAAAAAAACATTAAACGGCTGCAAATCAACAAGGCCAAGATTTGGCAAAAGAACGCAGAAGCGTTAAAAAAATTTTATTGGAAGGGAAATAGCCCTAGCTCTGATACCATGTTAAAGTAAGAGAGAGAGAATCTTGGGTAAATTTCCCTTGAATTGAATATTGAGTATGCACATATATTTATACAAGTAGAGGAGTGTGAGGTTTGTTCTCCCAAGCAATGTGGGACTAAAACCCACTACAATACACTATTATCAACAGACAGGAAACAAAATCAACATGCAAAACCATAAGATGTTGCACAGATAGATATATCTCTATATTTATTGAATTTATTACAACATACAAGACAAATATGGTAGCCCGTCGAATTTAACAAAGATAAATTGACAGGAGGTACATGATAATAATACGACAGGTAATTCTTATATATATTACAATGACATATGATCCATAAAAGTACGCTCATCTGAGCCTGCACTCTCTTGGACGTCCACGGGGGTACCTCTTAACATCAGAGCAATAGTTATAGATCATGTACTTCCTCTGCACCCATCTCATCCTCCGATAACTAGCATTGTCCATTTCTTCAAAAAACCACGCATTCTTGCTCGCCATTGAATCCATCGAATTTTTAGAAGCACAACTAGAAATGCCAGAGGTTGAGTACCAAACACAAGCATCGACATTGAAATTTTGGTAGTATGCAGTGAATGGTGCTTTGCTCCAGTCCGTCTTGATGAGGCCTCCCCTTGTAGCCCACTCCTCAGCGTCCCATATGCTCGAGTATAATCTCATGGGTTGAGTCTTAGGAAATGGGACTCCCATTGAGTCATGGTTCTTGAAGTCTCTTATTGGGATGTTGTCCACCAAGAAGCTGTACAAGTATTACAATGTAAGAAAGGTCTTACTGACTGAAGAAGGGCTACGCACATAGAAACCGCTTAGTATTGTAATTTAAAAATGTCAAATATTTTTTCTCCTCACACTATTTTACCCTCAGATAGGCTCGAAACAAAAAAGAAAAAAAGAAAAATCAGGGCCAATTTGCAATAATGAAACTACATGGCAGTAAGTTCAAAGCAATTAGTTAACATGACATGGCTATGTGCAATTAACCCAGTAAGGAATAATTATCATATCATAATTTATGTAGTTTTAACATAAAAAGTAATAGAGAGATAGAATATTTGTTTTCATCTCTGTTATACATTTCTTAAAACACAGAAGATTTAGATTTTATCATAACTACCTTGAGTTTACACAAGGTGAAATATGACAAACAATAGTCCATTAACGGTGTCATACAGGTTGTAGTTTGCTTCTACCCACTTATAACACCTATTATACTAGAAAGTTTATATGTTTTTGAGAAACTTTATATGAGTACTAACAAATGTCTATGTCCCTTCATTGTGGAATTTTTTAGTCCTAATCAAACATTTAGCCGGATATGTTTCACAATTTATCGGTATTATAGTTCTGACCAAACAAGTACAATGAATTGTGATCTTACATGATATGTTGCGGATTCCATAGGATTGAATAGGTGTGGAAATTCTTAGTTGGATCAAACCACAGATGAAACTGCATCTCCTTATCCCCTTTTCCATTGGCAAACACATTGGTGTGGAGGGTATATGGTTCTCCGGTAAGATTACCAAGGAACTCAAAGTCGATCTCATCATGGTTTGGATCTGTGGCTGGCCCATCTGATGACAACTGCATGCCCAAAAAAAGGTAAATCAAATCTAAGGCATCACTTTTTGATTGATAATATTTGAGGAATGTTAGCCAAGACTACTTATCTCATGCTACTTTGACACTACAAGATATGTGAAGTGTATGGTCATTAGCTTATGAATTACAATTTGGCTCATGTATATCTTATTTGAAAGATGTTTAAGTCCTACCGTATGAAAATAATTTAAATTTTATAATGCAGTTAGCATTAGTCACAATATTCTGATTGATATTTTCAATTTATGGACTTACATAAAAAGTAGTGACAGTGCCAGCAGAATTTCCAGGAACAAGTTTCATTTGTATATCAAGTCTTCCAAAGAGATACTTGCTCTTAGACTGAAATCCAGAGCCAGAATATTTATCAAGAGACAACGAGAGAAGCTTGCCATTGTCAAAAATCTTGCCATGGCCACCACCCCATTGGATTTCTACGTCATCATAGAAATTGCCACAGTGCACAACACTAAGCAAATAAGAAGCAACTAACAGAGTAAATATCGTCACAAATTCTAAAGAGGAAGACATTGGAAATATTTTGAAATAATTTGCATCTTTTAGGTTCCTACTAAGGCCTATTTATATCTGGAAAACTGAAGGTAATCACAATTAAGAACGAGAGCTAGAGACCTGCCAGTAGCATTATCAGTGTTTGGTATCCTGGACTTTTCTAACAATGGTAGGTTGTACTTGAGACTTGGGCTTTGAGTATGACTTGAAACGGTGGTAACATAGGTGATGGGCTGTAAAGGTAGAGAAATGTCAAGATAGATTCATAGAGACCATAGCCTTGTTTTCATATAGTCCTGATCTCCAATTCTCCTGTAAAGATGATAGAGGCACCATTCAATTATGAGAAGTGAGAGAGGTGCTGATAGTGAGGTAGATTTGAGTTAACATAGATTGGATGCTTGACTGATTTAAATTATGTAGAGATGAGTGTACTGTGGAGAAGAATTGGAAAAAGCAGATTTTTGGTCATAAGTCGACTCATGCACAGGCATAAGTCGACTTATGGTAAGTCGACTTATGTTGGTGCATGAGTCGACTTACGTTCTGCTCTGGATTGTTGGTTTTTTGCTCTGCCAAGTCGACTTATCAGGTCTGATAAGTCGACTTATGATCTCTTCTCCAGTTGCTGTTTTTCGCTCTGCCAAGTCGACTTATGCAGACTGATAAGTCGACTTATGACGGGTTTTTTGGAAAGTTCAGGTTCCTATTTGCAGTCTGTTTGGGTTTCTGTTTTGGTATAAATACCAATACGATTTGAGGGTTTTGTGAGGAGAGTTTTGGGGTTTTGGAGCACAGAAAAAGAGAGATCTTTCTGAGCTATTTGTTAGGGTTATTGGTTGAGAGATTGAGAGATTTGTTGGTGAGATTAGTTGGTTCGTTTGAGCGATTTGTAATCTCAATTTGTACTCTCCTTCTCTATTAGTGAAAACCCACCCCCTTCTTGCCCCGTGGACGTAGGCAATTTGCCGAACCACGTAAAACCTTGGTGTTTGTGTTTTGTTTGGTCTTTCTCTCGGCGTTCGTTGGTTTGGTTTCTCAAAGCATCAGTCGCAACAAGTGGTATCAGAGCACGGGCAACGCTTGGGCTATTTGGAGGAGTAGATCGCTTTGGAAGTTCATCTAGGGCTTCGTTTGGTGATAAAGGTGGGATCTTTTTTGTAAAAATCTCGTCTTTTTGGAGAGTGATGCTACTCCACGTTGGGTGGAGATTACTCCACATACTCCAGATCATACTGCGTCATTTGGGATTCCAGCTAAGGTGACACAGGTTGGAGATCATTTGGTTTTGGATGCAGATGATGGATTGGTTTTGGATTCAGTTGCAGCTGGTAGATATAGTTTGGATATGGCCATTGGTTTACCTCAGGTGGAGGTGTTTGATTTGTCTCAATTTGGGGTCATTGGGAATACTATCAGTTGCAGATCGTTTGGTGATATTGGAGAAGAGTTGCAGACTTTTCTATTTGATTGAGGGCCTTTGGAGGCCGTTTGGGTGAACTACGTGAAGGCTTGATTCCTTGGGCAAAGGATACGTAGGCAGTCATTTTGATGCAGCCGATTTGGTGAGCGACATCGACATTTGGGGTGAGTGTTCACACTCTCATTTGGGTCTCAGCATGTGAGGCATTTGTTTGGTTGGTGTCGGCTCAGTTTTGGGAAAACTTCGCCGAGGTGGAGAATTGTGGAGAAGAATTGGAAAAAGCAGATTTTTGGTCATAAGTCGACTCATGCACAGGCATAAGTCGACTTATGGTAAGTCGACTTATGTTGGTGCATGAGTCGACTTACGTTCTGCTCTGGATTGTTGGTTTTTTGCTCTGCCAAGTCGACTTATCAGGTCTGATAAGTCGACTTATGATCTCTTCTCCAGTTGCTGTTTTTCGCTCTGCCAAGTCGACTTATGCAGACTGATAAGTCGACTTATGACGGGTTTTTTGGAAAGTTCAGGTTCCTATTTGCAGTCTGTTTGGGTTTCTGTTTTGGTATAAATACCAATACGATTTGAGGGTTTTGTGAGGAGAGTTTTGGGGTTTTGGAGCACAGAAAAAGAGAGATCTTTCTGAGCTATTTGTTAGGGTTATTGGTTGAGAGATTGAGAGATTTGTTGGTGAGATTAGTTGGTTCGTTTGAGCGATTTGTAATCTCAATTTGTACTCTCCTTCTCTATTAGTGAAAACCCACCCCCTTCTTGCCCCGTGGACGTAGGCAATTTGCCGAACCACGTAAAACCTTGGTGTTTGTGTTTTGTTTGGTCTTTCTCTCGGCGTTCGTTGGTTTGGTTTCTCAAAGCATCAGTCACAACAAGTGGTATCAGAGCACGGGCAACGCTTGGGCTATTTGGAGGAGTAGATCGCTTTGGAAGTTCATCTAGGGCTTCGTTTGGTGATAAAGGTGGGATCTTTTTTTGTAAAAATCTCGTCTTTTTCAGTTTGGATCTATTTCTCGTTTGTTTCCGCATTGGTTTGGTGGTGCCTTGAGGATTATGGCCGAGAAAGAAGGAGTTGTGGGCAGTACTTCCGGCGTGAAGACCGTCCAAAGCTTGAATATCCACTCAATGAAGATTGATGTGGAAAAGTTCAATGGCACAAACAATTTTGGACTTTGGCGATGCGAAGTCATGGATGCGCTCAACGCGCAAAATTTGGAAGATACGTTGGAGTTGGACGGGAAACCGGACAACATTGATGAGAAGGTTTGGAAAAAGATGAATCGAACGGCGTGTGGTGTGATTAGGTCTTGTCTCACTCAAGATCTAAAGTATGATGTGATCAATGAGACTTCTGCAAAGAAGATTTGGGAGATCCTTGAGAGCAAGTATTTGACCAAGAGTGTGGAGAATCGCTTGCATTTGAAGAGGAGGCTTTACCGCTTCCAGTTGAAGAAAGGAACCTCCATTGGTGATCACATGAACCACTACACGAAGCTTCTTGCGGATTTGGCGAATGTGGATGTTAAGATTGAAGATGAGGACAAGGCGTTGTTGCTATTGAGTTCCTTGCCTGACGAGGAATATGAGACCTTCGTTCTTACTCTTATTAATGGGAAGGCATCTCTTTCGTATAGTGAGGTCACCGCTGCACTTGTGAATTATCAGCTTCGAAAGAAGGATAAGGAGACTTCGTTTGAGCCGGTAGCGGGGGCGTTGGTCGCAAGAGCAAAGGGTCCAAACCGTAGTGGGAGGTCGCAGTCTAGAGGGGCACATCTTGGAGTTCGTAAGAATCAATGTGCCTTTTGCAAAGAAGATGGACATTGGAAAGCCGATTGCCCAAAGTTAGTTGATCGAGCCGGGAAGAATAAGGGAAAAGCTATTCAAGCTTCAGAGGCGAATGTTGTCAAGGCTAGTGGCAACGATTCAGATTCGGATTCTTCGGGCTACTCGTTATCTGCACTGCCGTCAGTTTGTGTTGCCTACTCTACAGAGTGGATATTGGATTCGGGTGCTACATACCACATTTGCCCTAGGAGGGATTGGTTCTCCAGCTTTCAGGAGTTGGAAAGAGGGGATTTCGTGCTCATGGGGAATGATCACAAATGCTCTATTGGTGGTATTGGTACTGTTCGGATCAGGATGAGTGACGGGGTGATTCGGGAGTTGGTTGGAGTGAGGTTCGTTCCTCAGTTGAAGAAGAACATCATTTCACTTGGAGCTTTGGAGGCAGCTGGCTATAGGGTGACCTTGGCGGATGCACGCTTGAAGGTTACATTTGGGTCCATGATTGTGATGAAGGGCGTCAGAAGAAGAAATTTGTATTATTTGCACGGAAGCACGGTGATTGATAGGGAAATGACGACTTCATCAGATTCGGCTAGACTGTGGCATTGTTTGGTGCTGGGGTATATGATTGGTAATACCGTGCATTGGTTGTTGAGGAGTGCTATGACCTGCAGATTGAAGTCCTGTGAGCACATTAGGATGAGCGAGACCGTGGTGGAGTTTGGCACTTCTATCCATCGAGCGAGGGGTCTTTTTGGAGGTGTTCAGTCAGGCATTTGGGGGCCTTCCAAGGAGGCATCATTGGGAGGTAATCGTATCTTGGTTTCCACAGTTGGTGATTGTTCTAGGCATTATTGGGTCGCGACCAGTTCCCGTTGGTGTAAAGTCCTAGAAGTCAACAACAATTGGAAGAAGTGTATTGGCAGAAAGGTAACTCATTGTTTCAGCTTTGGTAGGGGTCCTTTCTTGCGTTGGTGCCGAGCTCACGGCAATAGGAGACACTTCATTGGTGTGGAGACTTTGGGGCGACGAGATGAGATGACAGTTTCGATGGGTCGTTCCTTTCTGGAGGAGGATCGGCGTTTGATGTCGAGCATTGGCATTGGTGTGCGGGCTTCGACATATTTGGGTCATCTTATGCATAGGTCGCCGACTGCTGCTTTAGGAGTTATTAGATCTGGTGGAGCTGCTTCAGATTTTGGGTCGCGTCGGATATTTGGATACCCAGCATTTGGTCACATCGTGGATGTGAGATTGGATCCGATTGCGCGTTTGGGGTTCGGAGGCTCAGTTGATTATCGTTTGGGAGCTTCTGATTTTGTTCTGAGCAGGTATGTCACTTTTGACTCTCGGCAGGTGGAGAGTGTTGATCAGGTCATTTGGATATCGCAGCAGGTGGAGAGTGATGCTACTCCACGTTGGGTGGAGATTACTCCACATACTCCAGATCATACTGCGTCATTTGGGATTCCAGCTAAGGTGACACAGGTTGGAGATCATTTGGTTTTGGATGCAGATGATGGATTGGTTTTGGATTCAGTTGCAGCTGGTAGATATAGTTTGGATATGGCCATTGGTTTACCTCAGGTGGAGGTGTTTGATTTGTCTCAATTTGGGGTCATTGGGAATACTATCAGTTGCAGATCGTTTGGTGATATTGGAGAAGAGTTGCAGACTTTTCTATTTGATTGAGGGCCTTTGGAGGCCGTTTGGGTGAACTACGTGAAGGCTTGATTCCTTGGGCAAAGGATACGTAGGCAGTCATTTTGATGCAGCCGATTTGGTGAGCGACATCGACATTT